TCTTATGCGATCTTACAGTCTCTTTTCCCGAGGGGATACACGCGTAGCGGTATATCGTGAAGGGGGGGAGCAAGCTTTGCACTCCTACACGCAGGCCCGCTCTCTCCCTCCTTCGGAGTACCCCTACGGGGTAATTTAGTTTGATAGCTAAGGAGTCTCACCATAAGTCTAAGTTAGAGTATACTGCTTTAGAATTGAACTGTAAAATTGTATTAGTGTGCCCTCTTGGGGAGAGATAGAAGAATAGCGTGCTTAAGGAGACTGATCCCGCAGGGTAGGAATATCTATTAGCCTGTAGGAGGCTCCTTCAATAGGCTACTCGAGGCTCTCTATGAACCCCCCTGTGTCTTGGAAATGATGTGAGGTAGAACCATCTATCATAGAATCTTTCTTTCCTAGAAGTAGATACTTTTATGGAAGGCATAATATAGTCTACCTCTTTACACCACTGAATATAAAACTAACAGGTGATACGTAGGTACATATGCAACAAGAGCATAGCTCCAGATGGAACAAGAGACTATAAGCCTACTAACCCTAAAAAGGTGTGGCCCTCTCGAAAGCGGGGTGTACCTTGGGTGTTAAAAAAACTGGGTTGGGTCCCTCCCCGGAACCCGGGGAGGCGGCCCTTCAGGGTTCATGTTTAGTGAATATTAATTTTGAATAAGGCCTAAAGTCCAAATTACTTTGAATACTTCGGAATATAGTAGGCTAGACGAAAAGTTACCCATGTCCGCTTTCTGACATAGCTTTTATCATCTCCTCTACAACACCAGGGTTTACCTTCATCGGGCTTATACTAAGGATACAGCCATTTAAATTATAATTAAAACGAGTAGTATCACCCCCCTTTTTAAAAATGGCACTCTCTACACACTTGTTGACTCTGACGGGATAAATACCAATAAACTTTATAGTCATTAGGGTTAATGCGGGAAGATTACGTCCTTTTGCCTGGAAAATATATGTAGGAGCAGATTTGTCTTTGGGTTGACAAGCCTGAGCCGGTGAGTAGGCTTATTATAACTTTTAGCTTGGCTAGGTCTTCGCTTTGTTCCTGTAACGTTATACCCTGGTTATACAGTCCTCCAGCATGTAAAAGATCACCCATCGGATCGTAGATCCTCATAACTCTTTACCTAAACTAATATCTAGACCAATTGCTCTATCACTCTCTTCTCGAGCACAGACACTCAGGGAGTCCCCACTCCATCACATGATCAATTATAAGAGTATCTCTATGCGGTGTGTATTATCCAACAGCCCCTAGAACTTATCCGAGATAATTACCCCCGTGGGAGATAGCCATTTTGGGTCAGGGTTAGGCTACACTAAATAGATGGTTACTTCAGTTTAAGTTCAGTTTGATGGTAGCTCTCATTGCGGATATTAGCTACCTATAGTTATCTCTCACCCGGGGTTACTGTGGTGGGTAGGAGAAGGGACTGGCCTTCGGTAGGAGAGAGATATGTGATAGGTCAGTGTGAGAGATCTATAGGAGTTAGTGATTGGTAGGGATAGTTAGATAGTCTGTAGGCATGAACCTTATTTCCTCCCTAGATGGTAGCCTGCCTCTCTTTGGAGACCCGTTAATTTTATTTACATTACATTCCATTTTAGTGAGTAGCGAGCCATCAATCTTACATGGTGCAGGGCTTCCAGGGTACCCCTTTTTTACACACGGGAGTGATCGTCTAGCTATCATCCGACAACTCAATTGGAATCGTAGATCCGTAGGGATGTACTCCGCGTGTATACCTATACCTAGGAGGGTTCGGGGGAGGCGTCCCTTCGGGGTTGGGGGGAGGGTCTCCCCTTATGACCCCCCCCCCCATGCTCCACCACCACGCCCTCTCCTTCACCTCCTCCCTCTCATTTTAGCCTCTGCTTTATTGTCTTTCCAATTCCTTGAATACTCCTTCTCCCCCTTTATCTATCTCCGAGAGTGTCTTCGGTTCCGTTTTATTCCCACCTCCGAAAGATCTCCGACCATATTTTAATTAAGATCTCTCCCCCCCACTCCAAACTAGGAGGCAACGGGGGTAGCCCCAATGACACAGGACGGAACAGGGCACCCCTCCCCGCATCTCCCAAGGGAGAGGGGGGGGAAGCCCTAGAGACCATAAATAGTGGTCCGGAACTCACAAAACTACCTAACACTGGGGGCCGGCCTCACAGATCCGCAAAAAAATCGAAAGAGGAAGCGGTGAGAGGCACGCTCCTTGACCAACCCGCAGCCGTCCTTCTAAACAAAGCCATATGACCAATCACCCACCCAAATTTACGAAAGGAGTCTACCGAATGAGGGTTGGAGTAAATAGAGCAGAAGGTAGCACGTGACTGTGCGATAATACACGGAGAAGTGGGCGGTAACAGGGAAGATCACCTAAAAACCCTGGGCCACAACGAGAACTGGAAAGAACAACTCCACCTAGCCGGCAATCGTATGAACTCCCTAACCCTCAAAGTAATTGCCGTATAAATGGTGAGCACAAACAGGGGTTCACGAAGCCCAGGGGTGGACGGTAAATCTTTCCTTGCGGTGCCTCAAGTCGTAGACACGAAGCAACGCGCCCACAAACAAATGGAAAAATAAATAGAAGAAATAAAAGGAGAGTTAGCTACAGCCAAGGGGAAAACCGATCAGGCGATGCGTCGGAAGAAGCGAAACAAGCTTGAGCTGAGCCCCCGTGAAGAAAGACGAAGGTGACTCAAATCCGGGAAGCCGGAAGCATATCAACACCTGCGGGTGCTAAGAGTACGCTATAAGGCCATTATAAAAAGTCCAATCGAAGATGCCGGGGAAAGGATAAAAGGGGCGATCCGGAATAACCTAGAACTCAAACTAGGAATGCTTACGGAGTTAAAGCACTATAGGCTCAAAAACTTCAAAAGTCAACCCATAAGAACGGTGCTGATCCCTAAGAGCAACGGGAAAACCAGAGCTCTAGGGATAGCAACCCTGGCCGACCGAGCAGTCCAACAACTCATGAAACTAGTCATGGAACCAATCTTGGAAAGAAATATTTTTAAGACTACTACGCCATTTATTTAAGGGGATGGCACCAAGCTATACCCGCCGTGGCATGCCGAGTTCTTAGATACCGTCGTGGGGGCCTATAAAGACCACGTATGGCCACTTTCAACCCCAAGACAAGGGTAGACAAAGCGAAGATGGATCCAAGTTTTTACAACGAACAGACACTAATTGAGGGCGATATCAAAGGGTGGTTCGACAAAATCAGTCACTCCTGATTGGAAAAACATCTACCCATGCCCGAAGGCTACGAAAACCTACTCACCGCCATGCTGAAGGCCCCCCGAATGCACCCCATGGAGGGTCTTCTAATAAGCGGATGAGGGGGGGAGGGTCACCACCCTCCCCCTATCCCCCAAGGGGGAATAATCTCCCCCCTGTTAATGAACTGAACTCTGGATGGGTTGGAAAAGTGGTCGAGACATCCATGACACAGACCTACTGCGACTCCCACCCTTGGAAAGGATGACACAAACCGGAAGGTAAAGCGGAATTCCTAGAGAAAATCGGAGTAAAAACAGAAGAGATGCCAACACGGGCTAGAAACGAGAAAGAAGGAGCGAGGGCCAAAGCCTTCTGTATTCGTTATGCGGACGACTTCATAGTAGGAACAACCAGTCCAGAAAGAGTTGAAGGGTGTATAGCAGCGATCTCCGATTTTCTCGCAGAAAGAGGCCTAGAACTTTCCTCAGAGAAAGCCAGGATCCTACCCTGGAAACTTGGAAGCAAGTTCCACTTCCTGGGCTGAAGCTTCCACCAAGTACTACCCAGATTATCCAAGAGGGACACTCTGGGATGGGCCCCGAGA